CGCAGATAGCCCTCTTGTAGCTTTGCGCGAAATTCAAAACAAACAAACAATCTATCTAAATGACAGTTAACTATCAGTAATCAGTAAATAAGTGTGTAGATGTACGAAGTTTATTTGTACTGAATTATTTTCCAATAACCAATTTACAATTCCACGAATATCGTTTAACTTCTTTAGGTAGCTTTAATTTAGTTGAGCGGCTTAAGTATACTAGCGATAGCACGGTTGATATTCAGGAAACGATTGAACAAAAAGCATGCTTATAGACTTGATGCAAGCTTTTTTTTTCTGGTAAAATCACTTGCAGGTTTGTTAACTTGTTGTATAAAATATCCTTTTTGGTGGCTTTTCTTTTTTTTTAGAAAGAATTCCTAACGCTAGAAATTTGATTCTCGTGTGTTTTTGTGTTGTTTTATTAGTATTTTCGTGAATAATAATACTTACTGAACTCGTACAAGTTTTTCACCATGGAAAACACAGGTTTTTTAACATAGTTTTGTATATGTAAATGCGTACTCATTAAAACATTATGAGGGTAGATAACCAAATACCATTCAGTGAATACTTCAATGTACAATTTTCATTGCACTGAATTTCAACATTTTTTTAAACCTATTTAGCTACACATGCTTCGGTTGTAAGATCGACTCAACAAATCATTCTTCTGTAGAAAGTGAGTGACAGTACGTTTATTATGAAAATATTTTGTGGTTAACTTCAAAAGCCGACATTTACAGCCGATTCTGTGGGAGTAAACTGTTAAATAAATGAGAAAATACATATTTAAGTGAGACTTTCATAATTTTTGTTGTGCGGTTTCACTAAATAATATAGTTTTTTTGTTTTAAAGCAAAGTCACATTGGACTATCTGTTGTGTTCCCCGCGTGGAATTGAACCCCGGATTTTAGTGTTAAAGTCTGTAAACTTACCTCTGTCCCACCAGGGAACATACAATACAGAATCATCTCTTTGTAGCTTCTAACGACTAATACTTTCTATTTTTAGCATGAACATTTGTCTAAGTTTATTGACATATTGGTACTTTTTCTCAGATGCTTAAACAATTTTGACTTCTAAAGCCATTGCTAAAAAATAAATAACTGTTTTAGATAGACCAAATGGAAAGATATCCTTTGTGACTGGTCAAATATGCAAACCATCGTTAATTTTGTTCTATTGAAGTGTCTGATCGTGTAATAAACTGACGCCAAAATCTTTCATATTATGAACTGAAATGGATTTCTTATTTTTCGAATTGAACAAAAACTCCACCACAGTGGTATGCTATATACTACCGAAACGGATGCTTAGAACACACCCAAACGCCAATTCACAGTTTTGGTTTTAAAGACACGCAGATTCGTATTAATCAATAATGCTCTCATACAAATTGTGGAAAAAGTAAATACCAAACTTTTACAATACAATTACACAAAAACACCTCAAAATATTTTTTCAACGTTTTTGAGATCTGTAAGTAACAGAACTTTGGATTTATGTTTGATTGCCGTCAGAGCCTAAGCCCCTCAGTGGCAGAGCGGTAGTATCTGCGAAGTTACAACGCTAGAAACCGGGTCCATTGTTTAACTTTGTGCTTGACCCCAAACAAACAACAAAATCAAAGCCTAAAGTACTTTTCTTGTCAAAATGATACCTGACATGTTCACATGTCGATTGTTGTAATACTACAAATAAATTTTAAATATTTTCATTACGCAAATAATACAATTTACAACAGGTTACCCACAACTGTGGTAGCATTGATTCGTGTTGGATTGATAACAAAGACATCCTGTTTTTATTTTGTTTTTAATTCTCAAAAAAGGATGTTATCCTTTTATCTTATCAAATTATCTTAAAGGGCTGTTGCTGTTTTTAAAAATTTGCTCTTTTCAAAATTTTTCATAATCAACATATTTCATTTTGGCTATTACAATTGTTTACAATTTTGCGTTCAGTTAGTTTCTCTCTCTCTCTTGAGAAGTTTCGTTATTTTCAAGTAGAAAAATAAATACTGCTCAGATAAGAAACATCCCAAGTTATTATACTTGTAAAATGTATGCTTTATGTTCTTGTTAATCAACAGATGTGACACATTTAATATTCTCCTGTATTAAACTAATTGCATGCCAAACCCTTATTACGAAGTTCTAACATGCAAAATTTAGCTATTTTCTTTGAGCAGTATGTTTCGCTTGGCTATAGCTACTTTTTAGTTGCGGCATAGCGACTCATAGAACGGCTCTGAGTTTGTTTTTGTTGTTGTTGTTTCTCTAAGTACAAACTTTTAGCTCGTGGTTCCGTCATCTGTTCACCGATTTGAGATATAATTACAGATTTGAACTCGGGAGGTGAAATCCTTTCGATTGGTGTATTTGACCACGCTCAAGGTCTCATAGATGAATTTACTCTCAACGTGTCTAAAAGAATTTCAATTTGAAGGTAGGCTGGTAGGGATATTGATGAGTAATAAAACCGAATCGGGCATACGAGCGCCCCATGCTTGGTATTGCTGGCGCACAAAGGTATAGCTAATAAAGGGGGGAGAAGGTCTCACGTTAATTTACTCTAATCTTGGCTAAAAGAATTTCAAGTGCTGCGGCTGTTGAGGATTCCTTCTTGTGACAGTTAGAAACGACTCATGAAGAAGTTGAAGTTTTATGACCCGAGTTTGATAAGAGGTGTGAAACACCAATTTATAGTACCCGAAGAAGTGCATATTTTAAGGTATAAAGTTACTTTTATAGGAATCTTTTTTATTGTTTGATACAAGAATGTGATAATCACCAGTTAGTAATTAGACTGAAACATATGCTTTGGTTGAGGCTTAAGTTGCATATATTTTAAGACTCAACTGAGATGGGCTTAGTAGATTTTTTTGTTGCAATTGCTTATATCTTAAATAGGTTTCGCGAATTCTTTATTTTTTACTCGTGCCTGATAAAAATATTTTCGCTCCCATCTGTACAGAAGACCCAGAAATGTAGTTTTATATAATAAAAAAAAACATTTATATTTGTCAAATCATCTTGTTTGGACGCATCTGGCTGTTCACATATGGTCTGACCAGTGCTTGTCCAAGACATTTCGAATTATCACACAATTGACAATATAAAAATAATATTATATTCCAATTATTCCAGTAAGTATGAATGAAAACATTATATCATTTTGCAATTCATTTATTCATAATGTATATATATTTTCTTTCACAGACAGGGACGTCGCACGTAATTACATGTCTATTTTGCCCAGTAATTGTTTTTCCCCTTTATTACACAGTACATACAAAAGCTGTTTCTATATTTTGTTCTGTCAATTTGTTACTTTTCATACAAATTTTCAGTTGTATTATGAGATCCTTCCTAAAATATGGGAAAGTATTTCGGACCGGACTTCCCAGGAGTTTTGTCTTCCCTGACCGGCCCGGCATGGCCAGGTGGTTAGGGCGCTCGACTCGCAATCTGAGGGTCGCGAGTTCGAATCCCCGTTACATCAAACATGCTCGCCCTTTTATCCGTGGGGGCGTTATAATGTGACGGTCAATCCCACTATTCGTTGGTAAAAGATAATCCCAAGAGTTGGCGGTGGGTGGTGATGACTAGCTGCCTTCCCTCTAATCTTGAACTGCTAAATTAGGGACGGCTAGCGCAGATAGCCCTCTTGTAGCTTTGCGCGAAATTCAAACGAAAAAACTTCCCTGACCACTTTATCACATTTTCCTTCCCCCATGGTAGATTAAAATTCGTTCTTGTTGGTGATTTTGTTATTTCTTTATATACTTATTATTTTACACTATTTTCTTGTCTACAGCTACAACGTTGTTATCCTGGTACTTACTTACATGTTGCCCATTACTTCTATGACTTACACCTATTTCCGAGTGGGCCGAGAGCTGTGGGGAAGTCAAAGCATTGGAGAATGTACCGAAAAACAATTAGAAGCTGTCAGATCCAAACGGAAGGTAAGTTTAAAGTTATTAATCCGACCACTGGTTTCAAAATATAAAACCAAATAGTTTATAACAAAAGCTATCTTTTGAGAAAAAAAAAAACTTTGACAGTTTTGCAAAAAAAAAAATATTCAGAAATTGTGAAAGAAAGATGAATGGTATACACAAAAATAAAAAGTACAAATCTTGATCACAGTAATAAAATACACTAAGGAACATATCACATCTGTCTATGTACATTTGTAATCTAAATGGCATAACACTTGAAGTACAGTTTAACGTCTATTATTTTCTGTAGACACTGATCATAACATATTAGCTCGGAATTAGAAAGCTCTTTGAAATTATATGTGAAATGGAACAATATGGTTTTTTTGATGTTTTTTTCAGGCTCGATTTGATGGTGTTAAACATAGTAGTTTGACAGTTACTTTCATGTATAAAAATAAAGCTATAAGGCCAATGATTGTAAAACAATGGCAATTTATCCTCAGATAATATACCAAACAAGGGACTCCTTATGCTTCCCGTCCAGGAAACCGTGGTATTTTCCTTCTATTATAATATTAAAATGGTGATCGGATTTAGGTACACCATGTTAGTTGATAGAATGTGCTGCAACTCTATCAGTCTCACATTTTATCAATGAGTCTCATCAGATCTGAGAGGTTATCAATTAACAGGGAATAGGGGGTTGCCACTTTAACTAGTTTAAGTGGTGGATTTATGTACATGTACAAATAAACGTTTTAACACCTTCTGCTTTATTTCTTTTGTAATAACGTATTAATATTTTATGTGGTTTTAACCACACTTACTGTTTACGTGTACGTATTTATTATGTTTGAATGTTTACATAAGTCATCTTTTACTTTAGATTTTAAATGAATATTTACTTCACCATGATTATATTGTCATACATATATTTCTGTTACATTTTCATTCTTGATAACGTGATTGCCTGTCAGACGAAATGTGATAATTTATTGTTAATATTTCAAATTACATCAACTGTTTTGTTCTGTTAAGACTGAGCCGTGTTCTCTAAGGGTGTTTACCTCTTGATAAAGCCGTAAGGTGAAACGTTGGGGAATTAAAGAATTTTGAGTAGATATTGCCAGTTTCTCTTCATAAACTTTATTATAAGCTGATGGCGAAAGTCGTTCGTCACAAGAATGTCTGGATGACAGGTAATTTGTTTTTAGAGCGTTACCTAAGGGCAAGCGCGGGACAAAGCCTGAGCCAAATATCGACTTAGCAAACTTGTTCGTGTATCAAATATGCATTCTATTAGCTGGAAGCCATCATATGGTAGCATGACATTTTTCAAAATAACGAGCTAAATCTTTCGAAGAGAGTTCAGATAAAAAGTATTTATTATGTTGTACGATGTATAATAGCCAAGTCAGGATACAGTATATTTTTACCATCCTCTTAATAATTTCTGGTACGTATATCCTTCTTTATAATATGAACTAATAAGTTCATTGAACTTGTATTTTATTCCATTATACCATATGTGCTTTGATAGGTAAATAGATAGACAGATTTAATTTAAAGAGTTAAATTTGATTCTCTGAAGGTCTGGATCAAATTGTGCAACGAGTAATGTAATGAACCGATATGGGTGCTTTATCTTTGTTTCACGTTTAACCTCCTGGTTGGTCAGGATTTAGTGTTAGTGTAAGTGCAAAAGTTTGTAAGTGCTTATGAATATCCTATTTCGTATTTAACCATGCTTACTCAGTATCCAATAAATGCGTAGTTTCTAGTAATATAAATAAGGCCCGTTTTTGTTGAGCAAGTATTTGTGGCTTAGCCTTCTTGCTTATCAATTTAGAAACAAATTATTCAGTGATTACTTTTTGCTTGAATGTACAATGATATGTCCTAAAACTTCTTAATTTTTTCTTATTTTTAATATTGTTTTTTTTACTGAACCATTTTTATACAAATTTTCTTTGATCTATACATTTGTATGTGAAGATGTTCCTTTCCATGTGTTAAGATCAGTTTATCAGTGATAAATTTATTTAATTGTCTTTTATAAGCCATTCCATCTTTCTCAAATTACATAAATAAACTCTTCCTGAAATACCAAGTCTTTAGTTTTTGTGCAATTTTTTTTACCCCCCAGTGGCACAGCGGTATGTCTGCGGATTTACAACGCTAGAAACCGAGTTTCGATACCCGTGGTGGGC